TGATGTTGAGTTTCTATAGTTTCACATAATCTAAATCTAAAATCTATTCATGCTCATGTTACCATTCATAATTCAATTTAGTAAAACTAATCCAATATAAAATATAAATTGTGGTAAGAAACAATAAAATTTGTAATAATAATCCAATGAATATGTATAGATTACTTCAAAAGAACAAATAAAAACAATATATCAATTAACCAATTTCCATTACAATCAAGTAAATGAAAGTGGGACATTAATGAAATAATTATTTTCGTTAAAAGCACAATTCAAATTCTAGAACAGTTATTATTACATTGTGTGTTTGTTCGGATGATTCCCACGTAATTAAAGACGGATCAGAGGTCAAAGATTATTACAAAAAAATATATATAAATCAACATACAATTACTTCATCAACATTTGTTAAGAGAATTAAACTGAAACTTTAAGCAAATCTACTATATAATCACTCAATTTTCATAAACAAATGTATCATAATTTCGAGAATAGTAAAACGTACATTCAACGTTAATGTGGGATCGTTCGAGAACGGTGGGCGTTGATGTTATAAATAATCATTGAAATGATATAACATTGAATAGCAGCAAGTTCGTTCATTTTTTGTGAGATCGAATTCAATACATGGGACACATCACCTTTAGTTTATCTAAGGTCATTAACATTGAAACATAGACTCGCCTCTAATAGGTTCTGATGATTCGAATGGATGAATCAAGTTCGAGCGTTTAAAGTGGACAGCTCACTTTACAATCCACGAAACTAATCGATACATACTTGTGGATTCACACAAATCACCTTTAATTCAATTTAATGTTCTATGATTGTATGCATCTGCTTATATCACATTGCTCACATAATAAAAATTTCAGTTCAAAATATAGCAAATAATTTCAAATAAAATACAATTCGTGTAATATTAAGAGAATATTTTCACAAATAACGATTACTTCCATGAGGCGCGTTCCTTTTTTTTTGATAATAAAGATGATAATAGGTTACTGCGAGTACTCGGAACAATTCGCTTAGGGTCACAATGGTTATGATACCGAGAGGGGAGTCTTGTTATGTAATAAGAATTCGTTGCGCGTTATTGAGGCTGTTTTTGGAAGGTTATTGACGCGTTATTAAAATGCTCCTAAACTATTCAAAATCGGTTTTAACAATTCAAATATGTTAAACCATGTTATTTCAGAAATAAGGGTTAATTAGTTACCAAGGTTGTTTTTACTCGAAACAATGCGAAAGGACTTTGACCGCAACAAAAACGGAAATTATTAAACCTCACCTAATATTTTAACATATTAATAATGCGAATATCATGCGTATACTTGATTTAGCTTAAAAGTTTCTGATAATCAAACATTACTGTTTTTTTTCTATTTACTGGATGACAATGCGTATCACATTCTCTTGATAAAAATTAAGTACTAAAAAGAGTACTACTTGTGCGTATTATATTCGAAATTCTATGGTAACTATATTAATAAAATGACATACTAATTGGTACAATAATAGAGTGAATGAATTATCCATGATGGCAGAGTAATAAGTAGAGGGTTTATGCAAGTTTTACGATAGTTTAGGACCCAGTAAAGTTATATGGCATATCTGAACGGCTCATTAAAATGTTATATCCTTTAAACACGATGGCCTTTAATCTAAAGATAAACCAGCAGATCTGAAGAGTTAAAAATATTAATTTCAAATAAAATCATTTGTTCACAAAAAAAAAAACTTGTGCATGGCAACAAGTTTGCTCCACTCTACGTGTTAACCGTTTTCACAGAAACGATCTGATTCAATTCG